GCGATGAGGCTAATAGTTCGACGCAATACCACCTCAGTTTAATGTTTACTTAAGCGAGCTTTGAAGCCGTTTCTATCCCACACTGATTAACACCAAGCGTGCAAGCACCACCAAAGTGAAGCAAGAGTAACAGAAAGATAGATCAGGCCTATCCTTACATCGAAGTCCTCACAGCGACATCCGAAACACACCAGTCTTCTTCCACCCAGACAAAGGAAATTATCGGCGTAGTTGGATGCTGATGTCTTCACCGCACTTATGACAGACAGTCAGACAGACAGTTCAAAGGGCGCGTCGTGGGTTACAGTACCAGGGCACAGCATCGTTGTGTGAAACACAGGGGGGGGGGTCGTACTTTTGCTTGGGGGGGGGGTCGTATTAATTTTTGTTTTATATGCATTATATGCACCCTGTACACCCGCCGGATATACGTTGCATAATTATTGTATACCCCCCCCGCTCGACAACTTTTTCGCCGACTATATACGACTATATACTCATGGCTCGGCGACTGGCTACTCATGGCTCGGCGACTCATTTTTACGTATAATTCGTCATCAACTTGATAGCATGAACTTTGCATGTTAACCCCTTTAACTTTTACATTCTCTCGTTTTATCCTATTTCTCAACACCTTCCCCTATGTAGTCCATGTCCTCATGTCGTCAACCTGTCGCACTGATGAGCTCGGGGGTTGGCTAGACAATGATGATTCGTCTGCGATACCGAGCGAAACGGATCATCTGTGTTGTGGAGTGTATTCCTTTCCCAATGTTTGTTTTTCTTTGCTTCTAATTACTGATGCAGTGTACTTCTTACACTGGTGAAGTGGTAAAGTATGTTATGTCGTCACTAGAACAGTTTCACGGTGCATTTTTCTTCAGAACCACTCAGTGCTGACCCTTTGTTCTGCATCTACACGCTGTTACATCAACTGCTTTCTGTGAAACCATTTCCGTGTATTCAGCCCCCCCAACTGTATTTATGAGTAGGAACTAACATTCTGACCTTGCTGACGAGTGACATTTCCTCACCAATTACTGCCACAGGTAGAGTGACGGGAAAGTGCGACGTTGCTGATTTCGTTTGATATGCCTAAAGGAGATACAAATCCCCCTACACCTTTTCGAGACTCTATTACTCCCTTATGGCACCAAGTGAGAAATCCCACTCGTCAGGAAGGTCAGAACTTTAGTTTCTACTTACAATACAGTTAAGGGGCTTAACAAACGAGAACCATTTTGCAAAAAGCAGTCGATGGATATTGAAGAATATTACAACGTGAAGCTGTTCTAGTTCTCGTGTTTAGATGCAGAACAGTGGTTTATTCATGAGTGTTGTACAAAGATATAAAAAATTATTAGGAAATCTGAAGGGTAAACCCTAGCAAGGGGGGGGGGGGAATAAGCAGAGCGAATTGTGAAGAAGAATGTGTCATGATCCTATAATGGTCATGAAACTATGCTCTTCCAGCAAGCAAACAGTGTGAAATTAAGCTTTCAAGCAACTGTACAAAACTCACCACCGAGTTAGTAACGGCATAGTTGTACAGAAATGCAAACAAGAATACATCGTCACTGGACAGAACACCAGAGAAAAGATCCCTCATTCCGAATAACTAGTAGGAGAATAATAGTCAGGTTCATGGAAGGTTGGTCGAAAGAGGTCGAAATATAGCCCGAAAACTAAGCTCGAAAAAATTTTAAAAACTAACTTAGGTCGAAGGACGAAAATTCGTAATTAATTCATCACTACGCAATCCGACGTCTTTTCTGGCGTCTTGCTATTATAGGGCGATCAATTACGAGAATCAGGGTAATGCGTGGTTTTGACGAGTTGTCCGATCCAGAGAACCCTGCTTCAATTGCTTCGTTCTCAAGAGTTTTCAATGAGGTTATGTGTAGGTTGCCTTTCATATTTCGGGATTAGAGAATAAAAAATATTAATCATTGAAAATCGCTTTATTGTTTTTCAAAATATTCCCCATTAAGATCTATACACTTTTGCATGCGTTTGAACCAATTGTCGAAGCACTTTTGCCACTCTGATTGAGGTATCTCCAAAACATGCATTCTGAACGCATCAACCGCTTCTTCAGGTGTCGAAAAACGTTGACCTCTCATTTTATTTTTACGTACGGGAATAAAAAGAAGTCATTCGGTGCCAAGTCAGGACTATATGGCGGATGACTCATCAAATCGATGTTTTGAGTGCTCAAAAATGCAGTTGTTTGAGCCGATGTGTGAGAGCTCGCATTGTCGTGGTGAAGAGTGATCCGTCTTCGGCGGTTGGGATCCAACGCGAACAAATTTTTTTGACAGTCAAATGTTCATGCAATATTGAATATATGCTGGTCCCACTAATGCCTAAGGTTGTCTCAATCTCACGATAGGTCACATGACGATCTTGCAATATTAGTTTGCGCACAGCATCAATGGTTTCCGGAACAACAACTGATTTTGGACGACCTCCACGAAATTCGTCTTGGAGTGAACTACGACCTCGGTTGAATTCCACCATACCATAAACATAAACAGCGTTCCTTGATAAACTGTGGTCCTTGATGGAAGCTTCATCGCCAAAAATTGAATTAAATTGTAAAAGTTGTAAAAAATAATCGCACGAAAATGTTCACGATTTAATTCCATTTTTTGGCCGACCTAAATCGATTAACTTAGTGTAAAGGCCATATGTCAAAACGTTCTGAGTACGTATAACCTCAAAAATGTCAAACTTTACGATAGAGCTGTCAGTTGCCAGATTGCAACACTAGGGTTGCCCAATCCCGAAATATAAAAGGCAACCCTCGTATCGAGCAGCAATGACGCGATGGCGCGACTCGGTTTCGCAAGGTGGTGTTCTTCCGCCGACATTGTGTTCTTTCCTTATTCGTTCCATCTACCTCGTATAGTAGATGAATCAACTTTGGGTAAGCTACAAGGTTCCCAGGAATTCCTGAGGGGAGGAAGATGATGCAAGAATAATGCAAGATGCACTCGAAGCCGTAGGTAAACCAGGGTCCGGCATCGTTGTGCAAGGGGATCGCACTTGGCCGCAAAGGGAGATAGGAGGAGGGAAGGGGGTTGTAAACGCAGGGTTGGTGGCAGCGCAAAATGGTCATCGTCAGGCTTTCTGGAGAGGCACCAGCACTAAAGAGAAGCTGGATATGTGGGAGACTACAGAATATTGGAATATTTAATCAAAAATATTAAGAGTTAGCTAAAATTCGGAAGTAAAAGGACTTATCAATATAATACAAACAGGTTTGTGTTGCATAGACCTTTCCGAACACGATAAAAATATCTGCTTGCATGGACAAAAATTAAATGCAAAAAAGAACAGAGCTCTTCACCATCTATGCGTAGGAGCGTAATGCACTGCGCACGTTTAGACGAAATTCCCTGAGATCGACAGGGATATATGTTCTAAAGGCATATTCAGGTTTCCGAATCAAACCGACAATGGCACAGAAGCAGTCGAGCTTCTAAGCGGCTCAGAATTTCGCTCATTAAAAACTCATCTGAAATATCTTCCAAAATAGCGAGTCTTCACGGAAACCGTACCACTTTTTGAAAAGAGGAAATATTGTGCTGTGTTTATGGATTGCAAAGGCTGGGTGCGAAAGAGGTTATTGTCGTCTGAAGCATAATAGCTCGCGTGCGATTTGCCGTTATCCCATCTAAAACCCATCCGAAATATTTCTCAAACGGAGAAATATCCATTTCATATCCAAAGATTTGATCATGAGTAGTAAGGAAACACAACGGTAGAGTCATCGCTTCAACATGCCGCTTTCCGTTGCCCGAAATCTCTGCAAGCTATTTCTGCGGAGGAAGTACTGTGAATTCTTTCCTGTCAGCAAGTCTACTGTAGCACTATTTCGCACTGGAATAGCAACGCTGTTGTGATCGCTTGCAGATCGTTACGTATCTGGTCCTTCTCATTCGACCCAGCATTCGAGCCGGAAAGAGGCCGGGTCGCACCAGGACCCTCCTTCGGAAAGGCGGAGGGGGGTAGTGGGAAAGTGGTTCGCACTGACACCGCCATTTTACACATAGACGGTTTGCAATTGAGGTAGAGGAATTAGAGATCCAGGTTCCACCATTGATCATGAATTGACGTCTGATTCCCAGTGTATGACAACGGTAAACGGAGTAGTGAAGAGATCCACTTTTCAAGAAGCTTGCATATCAGCGACCCTTGCGTTCTCATCAGGGTCAGGGCTTACAAATGACATCCGCCCTATTCCAGAATATGGATTTGTGGTCTTTCATGCTCATACCAAAAAGGTCGTCTATGAATTGGAAACTGTGCAGGATATCTCCACCAGAAAAATTCTGATTCAAGCGCTAGGGTTCACTTACAAGGCTACATCAAATGTTACACCTGCTCATGTGTTCAGCTCACTCAAAAAGGCATTGCATGTGTACTTATTTCTATTCTACGGCTTATTTGTGTACCGTTTACACTTTATCCGGGTGTGTTTCTAACTCATATTTAATTATTTCCCTTTTTGACTACATATTAGTTCAGTTCGCCATGCTTGCGTTGCTAATGACGACGTTGTTTAGTCTGAAGATTCATGTGCCTGCAATGCCTGATACATGCAATAATTAAATAAACCCTCCTAAAATGAAACTAAATTTGTTTTTCGCATTCGGTTGCGCAGAAGTCAACGCCGTGTGTCTCATGTTTTGATAGAAATAGGCCATGATGGGGCGTGACAATCTCTACGGATGCCGTTCCTCCAGCGAATGACAGGCGCAGGGTCACCCACAGTGGAGCCTCCACGACCTTTATACGCGGTGCTGTAACAATCCTGATTTCTCCACAGGTTTGTTCTTTTGAAATCGCCGTAGGTAAAATTGGTATCACATTTAAGAAAAACACAAAAGAAACTAAAAAAAACTACAAACACTAAAATACCAACAAAGAAGTGTAGTGCGAAGACGTCATTTCAAACACTCTGCTGATTCTCTCAACCATACTGCGTTTTCTTCTTACCTCGGCGACTTGATTTCATTCAGACTTTCTTCTCCGACTGCTTCTTTCATGAACATTTCAAGCAGGGTGGAATTATAAGGACGAGTCCAGCCATCGAAGATGAGATCTTTGAAACGTAAGTAAATATGCTGACACTCCCGTAGAGTTTTGCCTAAAGATGTGAAAATTCCCACAGAAAGATTCTTTAACGATTTCCATCACAGGGTAGATAAGAATATCATTAATACTCGATCGGCTTAGAGCACAGCAGCCCAACAAAGCATCAAAGCGCCCTTTCAAAAATACTATCGGGTTGGCGAATAAGTAATGGCGGTTTTTTTCAATTGAAAAATTTGTTCCAAAAGTGAACTGTTTTGCAAGCAAGCTTAACATCGTTTAATAGCAAACTTCTCGTAGTATTACAATATCAAAACAGCTTCGGTTGGGGGGAGAGTTTTTGTGGATTTTTCAGTCGTTGAAGTTGGAAGTGAAGTCGCCGAAAATTAGCACCTTTACAACTGCCCTTCTATTTAATCTAGTTTACTTGAAGTGCTAAATCTGCTTATAAGACTGCTCGCATACTTTTGGAGAGATTTGAGACTAGAAGTCTCAGGCAAGGAGAATCTCAATTAGGACGCTTGGCATATTTTCGAGAATTTAAAGTTGCAAACTTCACTCTCGTGCCGATATTTGGGCAAGGCCCTCACTGTCTGTTCTCACCTGATATTTTATGCTAATATTTTGATATTGAATATGAATTTGATATTCTAATACTACGAGAAATTTGCTATTAAACGATATTAAGCTTGCTTGCAAAACTTTTCACTTTTAAAACAAATTTTTCGATTGAAAAAAACCGCCATTACTTATTAGCCAGCCCACTGCTAGTGGGCTGGCTAATAACTGCTAGTGGGCTGGCTAATAAGTAATGGCGGTTTTTTTCAATTGAAAAATTTGTTCCAAAAGTGAAAAGTTTTGCAAGCAAGCTTAATATCGTTTAATAGCAAATTTCTCGTAGTATTCTTCTTCTTCTTCTCCCTAGCGTTAGTCCCGCGCCGTGGGTCGCTGATCTTGTTAGACGTCGCCACTTGTTCCGATCCACTGCATCTTCTGCTGTGGCTTTCACTTCAGTGAGGTCCCTCTTGATGACGTCCCTCCACCTTTTCTTCGGGGCTCCTCGTGGTCGCTTGCCCTCTACCTCGAGTTCCAATGCCTTCCTTATTGGGTGGTCTTCAGGCCTCAGTTACATGACCCGTTACCTCGCAGTCGCTGCTCTCGTGCCTTCAGCTGGATAGGAGCCGTCTGTGTGACTGCTCTGACGTCCTCGTTTCTGACTCTGTCGAGTCGTGTCCAGCCGCAGGCCCATCTCAGCATCCTCATTTCAGCTGAGTGGAGCTGCCTTTCATGGTTCTTGCAGACAGTTGGAGCCAGCACTCACTGCCGTAGAGCATTGTTAGACCTTTACACAGCGGGTTACACCTTCCCTTGATTTCTCGAGTCATCGCCGTCGCAACAGGGATGCCAGGGGACTTCCCTCAGTCTCATCCAGGCATGCGTCTGATTCGGCGATCACCGCCTGGTCCACGCTGCCATCAGCTGCTAGGTTGCTCCCCAGGTACTGGAAATCCTCGACCCTTTCGATGCTCTCGCCATGGCGATCTACGATGACTTCGGCGCACTCTTCGGAGCTTAGGAACTTGGTCTTCTTTACGTTCAGCCGGAGTCCATTCGCAGCGAGCACATCCTGCCACCGCTGCACCTTGTCCTGAAGTTCCTCCCTGCTGTCCGCTATCAGGGCGATGTCGTCAGCATAGAGGATGGTTTTCAGTGGTCCCTCCATGAGTTCTTTTGCCATGACATCTAGAGTCAGGAGGAAGAGGAACGGGCTGAGGGCTGACCCTTGGTGTACCCAACCGTAATGGCTGCTTTAGCCCCATCGTTGTCCTTCACTATGGAGATGAGGTGTTCCGGAACGTTACGTTCTCTGAGCGCTCTCCAGAGTACAGGCCTTGGCAGGCGGTCGAATGCCTTCTCAAGGTCCAGGAAGGCTAGGTAGCAGGGTCGCTTCTCTCGGTACTTCTCCATCAGCTGTCTGGCGATGAAGATGGCATCGGTGGTGGACCTCTCGGGCATGAAGCCGAACTGTTCCTGCGAGATCGAGACAAGTTCCCTTAGCCTTGTGTTGACCAGGCGCTCGTACAGCTTCATGGTATGGGGAGTCAACTTGATGCCGCGGTAGTTGGAGCACTCCGTCGCGTCCCCTTTCTGTTTTGAAGGGATGGAACGATTTGCTGCGCCTCGACACGCATTCGGCAGTCCTTCGTTAGTGGTGTTTAGGAAGTGCGTGAGCCAACTCACCCCATGCTCTCCAAGGGCCTTCCATGCCTCTATCGGTACCCCGTCTGGACCCACTGCTTTCCCAGCTTTCATTCTCCCTAGCTCCCGGCGAACTTCATCCTTCGTCCAGGGAGTGATGGGACCTGCCGTCGCCTCTATCTGTGGGCTATCCTTGCGAGGGAATTCTTCGTTCAGAAGTCCCTCGAAGTATTCTTCCCACCTCTTCCTGACTTCGGCTGGTTTCCTGAGAATGGCCCCGTTGCTGCTCTTTACAGTCTTTACGACCCTGATGTCCTGAGCTGCGCGATGCCGAGCTTTAGCCCCAGGCG